TTTTTTCAATAAAATTATCCCCACTCTTCCAAGAAATATCATAAGTGAATGAAAGTAAATGAATGAATCATCAGGAGAAGCAAGTCTCATTTTTAAATAATTTCTAAAAATATTATCTAAAATATTTACCTCGAAAAATTCTAGGTACATTCGCAATTTCAAAATCAAAATATGAGACAAATAATAAGAAAAAGAAAGTTACATGTTTTCTTTCCCAAATGACCTAAGCAATGCTGTAATGGATTTATTTATCATAGTAAACATGAATACACACACACACACACACACACACACACACACACACACACCCCAGGCTTCTGCTCTTTGCATTCCATACAGATATTTACATCTCAACAGTTTATTCTGAAAGTTTACTAAAAGGGCAAACTTTGTCACAAATTCCCTGACTTATGAAGCTTTTAGTTTATCATATAAGGTGAACTTCAAAAAACTTCAGGGACAATGGAAAATTTAAAAAAAAAACCATATTATTTACTAAACTGTTTCGTTCTATCATGAAAAAAATTCAGCATATATTTAGATATCTAATTACTTGTCTTGAAATCTAGCAGAATATGCCCTTTGAAATAGTGAACTTTATATTCAAAAGTCTAAGTCAAATTTACAAACGCGTTATGCTGCTATCGAAGTGACTATGACCATCAACCATAAACAGCCTATGTTATGTCAACACAAATACCCTGTTTCCATGAGGAAGAGAGTAAATAAAAAGAACTAGGAATTCATAGTAAATATTAGATTTTATAAAAAAATCCTGATAAAAACACATACACAGAAACTCATCTTTTCAAGTAAAATGATAGGGGCACCCCTCTTCACTTTTAATTTAAAATGGTAAATAGAAATGATCTTTTTCTATCCAGACTACCCTGAAAACTATGGAGCTAGCCTTGTGACTAAAGAATACTTGAAACCAGATTTGCAAATATGTTAAGGGACACTCTATTTTGATTCTTCAAAGGAAACTGTACAACCACTGGGTAGTTTTCACTGGCAGACCTCAGAGAGCACGCAGTTCCACTTATTCACTTTAAGATGAAGAAACTGAGGCAGAGAGAAGCTGTGACTCACCCAAGGTCACAGTTTTGTGTCCAAGCTGACAGGGGAACGCCAATCTACATGACACAACTAGGTCCAGCGCCCATTTCAAGGGCTTTACATTTAGCTTTGTCATAATTTACTTTACAATTTGGCACTCAGACAATTCAGTCACTGGAAATTATTAACAGGTGACTTTCATCACCACGCTCACAGAATGCCCATAGACCGAAATAAAGACAACACACACCTCGCAGCCATTACTCATTTGTCAGCCTGAAAAATTAATCTTGGTGAGAATCATTTTTCTTATTTGAATAGTATACTCCTTCCTCAGAATAATATTCAGGAAGGCTAATACAAATAATGTAATATCCTCTTTCTTCATTAACCTCCAAAGGGTGTATATCGAATAGACCAGCACAGTTTTCACTCTTAAAAAGCATTCAGGCCGGGCGCGGTGGCTCACGCCTGTAATCCTAGCACTCTGGGAGGCCGAGGCGGGCGGATTGCTCGAGGTCAGGAGTTCAAAACCAGGCTGAGCAAGAGCGAGACCCCGTCTCTACTATAAAATAGAAAGAAATTAATTGGCCAACTAATATATATACAAAAAATTAGCCGGGCATGGTGGCGAATGCCTGTAGTCCCAGCTACTCGGGAGGCTGAGGCAGGAGGATTGCTTGAGCCAGGAGTTTGAGGTTGCTGTGAGCTAGGCTGACGCCATGGCACTCACTCTAGCCTGGGCAACAAAGCGAGACTCTGTCTCAAAAAAAAAAAAAAAAGCATTCAGGATCCCAAAAAGCTGTTGTTTATGTGAGTTATACCTATTGATGATTGTCATAATAAAAACTAAAACTAATATTAGTTTAAATTAAATTAGAAATTAAAATATTTTAATTCATTTGAAAATGAGTCATTACATCTTAAATTCATGGTTATAAAAAATATATATATTTCCTCAAACAAAAAACTTCAGTGAGAAGAGTGATACTCTACTACATTTTTTGCAAGAATGTTGCCTCACGTAATAGGAGACAGCCATATTTTCATATCTACTTCTATATTCAATATGTGGTGCTATGTTTTGCTTCAAATATATGAAGAAAACCTGACATATAGATATGCTGTTGGAAAAGAGGAGGAATATTTTAATGGTCTTTTCAGATAACTGTAGATATGATTCTTTGATACTACATTGAAAATTAATAGTGAGTAGTTTTTTTAAAGGTTAGTTGCAGTGTGGAATCTGAAACAATATCAATGAACTTTTCAGACACTATTATATTAAAATTCATTAGTCTACTTTCCATTTTGAGTGGATATTTTACTTGGTTTCTGACTTAATAAACTTCCTGGAGAAGGTCTCAGGAGCCCCAAATGACACTTTGAGATCTACTAGAAGATAGCATAGTTCAGAGTCAATCTGAAGATGAAGAATACTACTACTAAACCTGGAAGAAGTACACACTGCTTTGATCTTTCATGATGTTCTATTTATTCAACATTCTCTGAAATGAGGAATCATCACCATAAATTAAGAAATAGGCAATTAAGTTGGATTTCGGTCCAAAAGACACAAAATAAGAGACCAATGATGAAGCCTGGATGAGGTTAAATTAAATATTGTAATATACAGACTGAAATCTAGAAGGAGGTCTAAATATCCTCTGATCCTTGAGCCTTTATTCTGAGAATGACCAAAACAAATAGCTTTGGATGATATTTACAGGGAAAGTTTGTATAGAATCATTAATCTATAAGAGATTTCAAAGAACTTTAAAGCTCTGAGATTAAAGTTTTGGAAAACTTAACTGGCACAAAACTAGTAAGTATGTAAACAGAATGAATCCCCGTTGACTTTATTAACAAATATATAAGGAATTTTGGAATACTCAATAGTAGACACCAGACAACACCTCCAGGGCCCACAAATATACCATAGGCTCAAAGTCACTAATTCACATGAACAGGTTTAAGGCTATGTATGAGTCACTGGGCCATCAGGCAATGCTTCGTGAGTTGAGCATGAAAACTACGATGAAAGTAGAAATAAGATATTTAACAAATGTAAGAGATACTTAATGATTTTATTGACTCTAATATTTCCACCAGAAACGTCATGACCCAAAGCAATAGTTTTCAAAACAAAAAGACCATAAATAGAATTGTAGTGGCAGAGGTACAGTGCCTAACCCTTAAAATAAATCAGTTTAATCAAAAGAAATTATCAAATACTTATTTTAATAGTTAAATATTTCTTTAAAAGATTTTGTGGAATTTCATATAAGAAAAAAGAAAAAAAAAGAAACTAAAGATTATGAAACCACTTAACAGCTAAAATGTATATAATGCATACTAATATACCAGAAGATATTCAAAGTACTTCTCATAAACTAATTCACTTAAATTGTCTTACCTACCTTTGAGATGGGTACTATTTAATCCCTTTATACAGATGAGAGAACAAAGGCCCAGAGAGGTAAAGAGATGTACACAAGGACAGAAATCAATTACCTAGCAGACCGGGGAATTCAACCAGCCATGCTCTTAACTACCAGGGTATACAGGCTAACTCACTAAAATCATGAGTTACAAAAATATCCACATACACGCAAAAATTCCCTTCCCTAAAAGTAAAGCAAAGCACTTGCAGTAAAACACATGCTGAGTCTGGTTCTGATGGCAGCCATGCTATCTCATGACCCCTGTTGGAGTTCAGAGACAGCATTAGAATATGATTGAAGAGGTCACACTATGGAAGACTATAAGAATATATCCTTTATGGGATGTTTGCTCCCATAAAAGCAAGGAAAGCAAGGTGTGAGCCAATGAAAATGAAACGAATGCACAAATTAAAGTGTTTGCTTTGGGTTTGGAAAAAACCAGAACAGGAGAAAGATATGAGAGTACACGTAAACCCTATATCCTGTCAATGGGATGGACATATTTCCCATCAAATAAATTTTCAAGGAAATAAGGAAAAATATTCACATATTGCTAGATGCTAAAGGAATAAACTATATCTACAAAATCTATTCTATATTCCATAAAGGAATCATTTATCACAACCATGTAATAAAAACAGCACTGAAGCAAAGTCCAACGCAAGGACTCATTGTATAACTTAGAACCACCCTTTAACGTCATATCTAAAACCTCTTCCTTGTTTTTTCTAAATATATACAACATGCTATCTGCTACGAGGAAAGCCAGAGATATTTTACAGTAAATAAAGTATGTCTTCTTGCAGATCTGAAATGTTATAAATATTCGAAATCAAAACTGCTGTGACGTATTTCACTTCCAAAAAGAATAGGAAAGCAAGACTGTCCACTTAGTAATTTTAGATGTGCTGAGTCTTTAAAAGCCCTCAACAGTTAAGGAAATGATTTATTTGCACTGAAAACCGCAACTTTCATATAATTAACCTACCTAGAAAAGGGCAGGAGGGAGGGAAGCTTGTGGGTAACAGGTTTGGAATTCAATTTTATTTTTCACAACCAATGAAGTGATTAATAAAGCTAAGGAAAAAAGACTAAGACCACAAAGAAACTAATTTAAAGCAATTTTAGTGAACCAGAAAACAGCTAAGGGGAAAAAAAAAATCCAGCACTAGTCTCTTAAATATAGTAACTGGCAGGAAAAAAATAAACATTTTCCAAACACCTAAAACAGGCAACAAGGGTTTGGGGGAGACATCTATATATGCCCCTTCAAAGTCAACATGGTTATTTTCTAAGAGATTTTAAGAATTTTTTGTTCTTACACTTCAATAAAAGATGTAACCTTGTATCAAGCAAAGGGAAGAGCATTAAATGGCCATCCTTAAAGCAAAAATAAAGCAGTATGCTGAAACATGTTTATCAACTGCAAAGATAATGCTAACCTTCAACATTTCAGAGAGCCATGATTTTCCAAAAGAAGAGAAGAAACCGACTTACCTTGATACGTTTTCTGGAATGTATTCTAGGACCGGATATCCATCACTTCTTCTAGATGACAGGTCACCATGTGATTTCCATGACTCCACTAAAGTATTGACAGGAGGAAAGGAACTCAGGTGTTGGAAAGACTGGTCTCTAGGGGATCGTGATAGAGATATTGTACCTTGAGCACCAATCCTGTAGTGAAAGGACTGTCCACCTGAATTCACACCTACAATGGCAGAGGAAGGGATGCTGGCCTCTGGGTAATAGCTCCCATCATCGGGTTCTTGTTTAATCCCCATTGGGAATCCGCTGCCTTCACAGTTACCATCAAACCCGGGCACTGGTGGTCCTAAAATTCCTGATAGAGAATAATAATCTTTATCATCCATAAAGGAAAAATATGAGCCATCCATAAATGGAAATGGGTTTACTGTTGGATTCCCTTTAAAAGAGGCGCCTGAACATGAATGCTTGGTTGATTCTTGTTTTATTGGAACCGAGAATGGAGAATCAGAATTTATTTTGCTATTTCCTCCTAGACAGGAGCTGCTAAAAGCTCCATCTGGTTCTGGTTTTATGTACTGGACGATGTTAAGCTGGCCAGTGACCCCATTTGAGATGGCACTCTCTACTTCCTCAGTCTTGGGAAAAGAGACCTCTCGAGCACCCTTCTCGTGTGTGTCCGGACTAGGAACCACATCCCGGGCTGCACCGGATCCAGCAGAGGTGCTAGAAGCAGGATAGCTGAAGGCATTGTTTATAGGGCTACAGATAGATCCCACAGTACTGGCTGTCGGACTGGAAAGCGTGGATCTGTTGTTTGTGTTGGAAGGGCTGGAAACGGAGCACCTTGAGTTGTTGATATTTGCGGGGCTGGACACAGAGGATCTCAGAGTGACGTTGTTAGGACTGGAGACTGGAGATTTTACGCTGCAGTGACTCGGAGGGCTGGAAATTGGGGACTTCATGCTACTTAATGGACTTGAGAGGGGAGAGCCCACGTTGCTAGCGTGCGCGGGGCTGTGTGACCTGGAGCCTCGACTTTCAACGTTAGGGGAGCACGTCAGAGGAGTTCCCTGGGTGACAGGGCTGTGCACTGGGAAACTGCCAAAGCTGGCTGTGGTGGAGGACACAGAGTTGATTCCGGCGGGGCTGCAAACCGAAGAGCTCATGTTCAGAGGGCTGCAGACAGACGGGCTCTTCTCATGGCACATGATAGGGCTTTTAACCATGGCGCGCATCACCCCACCATTCACGGAGCTCCCCGAGTCCGACATGAACGATCTCAAGGGCCTGCTCATGCTGCTTAGAGTGGAAGGACGATGGCCATTTTCTTTGTAAAATTTCATGAGCTGTTCAACATTTTGATAAATCTTAGCTGGACTCATGCTCCCTTGTGGGTTCTGCTGATCGTAGGTGTAGTCAGCATCTCTTACAGAATCCATGTATAAACCCATGGACTCAGCCACAGTTGCTGAAAGTTCCTTAGACTCCAGCTCCGTCTTAATGTCAGATGTTAAAACCCCAGACCGACTGCTGTCTTGCTGAAGGCAAGGGAGTAGTTCGTGTTTTTCTTTGCTGCTTCCTTGAGTACTGTTGTTTGGAATAGCACCGGAAACGCAGCTTACGTTGACAATCTCCATGTAGTTGTTCTCATCAGTCTTCTCCGTAGGATCCAGGGAAGAACGCTCCACGGTCTGAGATGCTTGACCCCACCGTCTTTCCATATCTAGACCTTCAGGGAGACTGTGGTAGCCTTTGGTCTCCATAGCTAACAAATAAATTTATATTAAAAAAAAATTAGAGTCAGTTATAGCAATATTACTCTAAAAGACATTCTAAAATTGCATCTACTAAGCTGCAAAACACTTAACTGATTATAAGCATTGTTTTTAGTTAAGTTAAAAATGTTACCTTCTTGAATGCTGACATAACAGAGTATTGACTATAACTTGTCCAGATGCCAGAATAAGAGAAGCAATCATATACAACGGTTTTGTAGCTACATAAAAATAATATGCTTGCTATAACACAGGCTTTAGAGCTCGGAATCAATAATTACAAATGCTAACTTATTTAATATTCAAAGTAATCCTGGGCATTGATGAGACAGGCAAAGGGGGAAACTGAGGACTTAGGGAGGTGAGTGACTTGCCCAAAGTCAAAGACACAGTAAGCAACAGAGCGGGTTTTAAAACTAAATCTTTCCATCATGTGGAAGCTGCCTTCCATATCCAATACGTGGCCTTGTTAGAAACAATATGGAAATGCAATTAAAGTTACCCTTTCCAAGTCTAAACTCACCAAGTGAATTATCACAGGAAAAATAATTTATGAATTATTTCTAAAATAATAAGACTTTCTTCAGCTAGATCAGTGAAGAAGATAATTTAATGTCAACTCTGAAAAGATTTATATATCCTGATGCAGGTGGTCCACAGCTCAGAGAGGCTGTGTGACTACCCAGGAATGCCAGAACTCTGTTCTGTATGACACTCCTGGCAAGGACTGTGACACACGCCCTGAGCTAGTGGCATCCTCTGCCGAAAAGACTCCCAACAATCAGACAATTTTCACTCCCAACAGTAAATGAAGTTTGAGAGGGGTCCTGAAAATTTGAGCATTCATTCATTCAATAATATTTACCAAGTAAGTGTTTGCTATGTCCTGGGCCTAAGACCAGTCACTGAATCCATAGGGATAAACAGAACAGGGACAGTCCCTATCCTCAAGGAGTCCACAAGATTGTTTTATACATATATAAATATATATATATATATATATAAAAAACCATATCCATTAGCTCTATAAATAAATTTGTTTCATGGACAGATTATAATAGGCTATATTTATATAATGCTTACATATTATATAATTCGATGACCTATTACAAGCCTTTTACATATATGAACTCATTTATCCTCACAAACAACCCTTTATGACTGGTAAAAGTATTATCTAAGTAATACAAGTAGACAAACGAGGCACTGGCCACACAGCTAAGTGTAAGAGCTGGACTTTGGTCCAGGATCTCTCTCTATACCAGGGTTTCTCCACTTATGCACTACTGGCACTTTGGGCCCGATAACTATCAGTTGAGGAGGTCTGCCCCACACGTTGTACGATGTTTAGCAGCATCCCTGACCCCTGCCCACTACATGCCAGTAGCAGTCCCCTCCCCAGTTGCAACAAAGAAAAATGTCTCTAGACATTATCTAATGCCCCTGGGGGGCAAAACCAAATCGCCCCTGGTTGAGAGCCACCACGCTAAAGAAATGAATCTTAAATAAACTCATTTTCGATAAAATTTTATTTGTACATTTTAGCATTTTAAAACCGCTGAAATCTGTACATATTTTTCTAATCTTTTCAAGTCAGTAAACAAGACCCAATAAAAGTCCTGATCTAAAGGATGCCATTTCTGCCATTCTGTACACAAACATGACATCAGGCCTCTCATCTTTCCCTCCCCTGGCACTCACTACCTACCCCCATTCTCTCCACCTTCCCCTCACTATAGAGAGACTAGGAAGTCCTTTTGCTACAGAACTTATATTAAGTAGCACTGAAAAATAAAATAATGGCTCTACTAAATAAATTGGCACTAGATAGCACAAGGCTCTATAATGAATTGTCAAAGTATTATAATAACCTTTTACTTTTCTGTGTTTTACACTAGATTTTAAGTTGAAGGTAGAAACTATTAATCTCACCACTGTATCCCAAGTGGACAGCACATCACAAATAAAAATTTAAACTAGTATAATATAATCAATAATTGATTCGTGAACATTTAAATCTACCAATTATGTAGTCTGCTTTTATGTAAAGAACATTATCCTGCGAATTCCTAATCAAAAATCACAAAACAGGAGAAAATAAATCAAAATACAAAGATTGAGGCGCTTATCTGTTAATTCCATCCAAAAAATTTGGTGTGGATGAAAGCTAGGAAAAGGTGAAAGGAAGGAAGGAAACACACACACACACACACACAGTGAATTGGGCCCCAAATTGCTAATACTGGCCTCTTCTATTTTACTAAAAAGCCATTTACTCATAGCTATGGGTTGAAAAATGTCAGTAAATATCACGTTCTTCTTCTACTTCTACCTAAGAATATTCTGTGCTCCCCATATCAAAGACTAATGAATATATAGCTGTGATATAGATGGTTCAGGCTCAAATTCATTAAACACCACGAGAAACAGGTCTGTTCATGTTTAATAGAATACCTTCTGTGCATCTCACCCCACGTACCCCCAAACTCACATTCCCTCTCTTGGCCAAGTGCACCAACATCTACCCAAATGCCTAGAAGTTACTCTTGCCTCGGTGCCCTTTCCAAGAGGCCTTCATTGGTGAACTCCTCTTCACTCACACGGTTACAGCTTCATTTTCTCTCCTTGTCCTAGGCAACAGAGCTCTCTACCCTGAGTCTGAACGGGGTCCCTGCCCAGATCCCTCTCCAAAAATCCATCCTCCAAATTACCTTTTGGGAACAGCGGTCACGCATCGCTTTTCTGAAATTTCACAGTATAAATTTACATGCTAAAACCACCTAGCAGATTGTACAGTGCAGAAACCGGTTTACTCTTAATCCAGCATTCCCTAAATAATTTGGCCATGGCATCCTTTTTTCACGGAACACCTACTAAGATTCTGAGGGACTCTTTTCAGCACGGTGCCCCAAAGCACGAGCCACAGCCCAGATTCATGAGGCTGTATGAAGACTTGAAGAGAACCCATAATGGAGATGGTGACACCAAAGATAGTCTTAAAGCACTCACGGAGGAAACACCTGTATCATCTAACTACAGCTGATCACAATTTTCCTAGTCCTATTTGACTAGCCTTCAACTCTCTTAACAGAAAACATCATGTATCTCACCACATTATGGACAGGCTACCATTAAAGAATCTGCAAAAGGCTTTGCTGAAATCTAAAGTAGCTTTGTTCAAGGTATTCTCATCTACCAACCCAACGCACCTCTCCACAAAGGAAGTAAAGGCTGGCAACAGTCAAACACAAAAGAATAGAGGACAAATATTTAGCATCTGCATGGCTTCCACTGCAAACATCTTTTTTAGATCAGATTTTTAAAAAATAATATTACTGAAATATCTTGCATTCTCTCTATTATTTTAATTAGTCTTTTCTGTAAACAAATGGATCAGGTTAGGAATTTATTTCCTACGGCACCCAGGGCACAGAGGTCTTTTGAGAATCGACACAATGACCCCCCCCCCTTAAGCAGAATTTCAGTCAACCTGAATTTACTAGTAAATACTAGAATGACTAGTTGATAAATATGATTCTCACAGGACTTAATATCCAGACGGTAAAGGGAAAGTTTAGTCACTGAAGTATAAAGTGAGGCAGGTAGTGGTATACAAATCTAGCTAATGTAAAATCAGGCTTGTTTGCCTCACGATGGAAACTATACCAGTGATTCTCTTGGGACAAAGGCAAAACCCATTATGAACTTGTAATTTTCATGTAAATGGCCTCTCCCTAAAATATAAAGGAAATTCACAAGAGTACAGTAAAGTACTGGTGAAGGTGCCACATCTGAAACACTATTTCACAAAGGAAAACCTGACTTTAAAATGTTACGTTTTACAAACTGTACTAAATTGCCCTCTTCCATAAGGAAGTAGCTTTTTTTTAAAGAAAATTAACAAAGATCCTTGCAAATTTGTATTTTATCTGAAAACACTTTCACTTTTAATATCCCCCCCAACACAGTCTCATTTTAAGGGCATCATTTTCTATAGTTATTTCACTATAATAAGGTACTTTAAAGACTAAGGCTAAATAATTTAAAAATCAACATCGGGCTGCATAGTTGTAAAAGTTCACTGTACGTGACTACTTTTTGTCATTCCTACTACAGAACTAGTATGTTTTCCTCTGTTATAGACGAGGTAAATGATAGAAATCTGCCCAAGGTCACCTAAGAGAGCAGGAGAACCAGTTAGAACTGAGCACACCTGATTTCTATTCACTCACCTAATTTACTGAGCCACCTGATCTTTCCAAAATCCCCAAACAAAACTATGCCTCCCTTAAAGGAAAAAGCTCCACTTTAGATTATTTTTTAAAAACTTCTCTCCTCAAGCATTTCCAAGACAGGGGGCCAGGATGTCAAAAACATAAAATTAAAACTTCACAGCAGGACCTTATAGATAGAGAATGCTGTTATCATTACTATGTAAATGTCATCAATAACAGCACCAAGAGAAATGGTAATACAAAATGTTAAGCAGCAATTTGGTGCATTTAAAATTCCGCGGTTTCGAAAGCTAGTCTACTAACAAAAGTTTTCCAAACTCCTATGTTATGCTAAATAATTAAAATTGACGGTGCCATAAGCCATTATGATTTAAACATGGTCTTTTAAAATTCTGTAGGCAAAGCCACGCACCTAAAATTCAGTAGTAGGGTAAGGATGCCACCAAAAGCAGCTTCATCCCTTCTTCCCTGCCCTTAGAATTGTAACTGATGCCATAGGAAGCGTAGCGTCTCTCTGGAGTTTCGTGGATCCTAGGGGACGTTAAATGCACGAATTTCCAGAGCCCCTTTCATACGGGATCTATTAGGATCTATATCTCCTTCAACTGCCCTTTTCCGCTGCACCTCCAGCTGAGATTTGGGAGCTTCCGCAATTGACAGAGGAAAGAAATAATATTCAAACGTCCTTTTAAAATTGTACAAGGAAAACGATCCGAAATTCATCTTTGGGGAAAGGGAAGGGAGGTAGACCTCCCATTGCCAAAGGCGGTCAAAAGCTGCTCTTTGGAGGGCATTTATCCAAAGTGGCCAAACTTTCCCAAAATAGTCCTCTGGCGGCCAACGGGGGGGAGGAAAGTGGAAAACCAAAACAAAACAACAAGCACACAGCACCATACTGACTGTGCCTCCGGATTACGCAGCCACTTCTCTCCCTGCAAAGTGCACGCTCCGGCGGGCGCGTCGGCCGCACGCCGAGCAGGGCGAGCGGTGCCCCGCCGCGCACCCCTACACACCTGCCGCGGCCGGGGTCCGTCTCTCGCCGTCTACCTGTTGCAGCGCTTGCCACCGCCACGACACCCCTGCTGCGGAGCCCCCCTAAATCCAACCACATCCAGGCCAGCAAGTGCCGCTCTCCCTGCAGCGGGAGAGCCCGAGGCGGCACCGCTCCCGCACCCAGGTGACTGCACGGGCTTCCTCCGAGCAGCCTGAAGTTGGCTCGCGTCTCCCGGGCCCAATGACACCCCGGGCGCGGAGGGGCTGAGGGGAGGGGGCAGGGGCAGGGCCAGAGCTAGCAAAAGAGGGAGGGAGAGGGCGGGCGACAGCCCGGAGGGGGAGTGGGCCAAGTGGAGGGCCGGCCCTTTTAAAAGCGGGTCACATGTCCAGATAAAGTTCAGGTTGCCCTGAGCCCTTCCCATTGGCCCGGAGGGAAGCAAGGCTCCACGCCGCACGGGTCAGGCGGGCTTCTCATTGGACAATGCGGGCTGTCAGTCACCAGGCGGGCGACATGACTGATACAAAGTTGCTGCGACACAGCCTGCACTCGGCAGCTTCCTTAAAGCCGCAGCAGCGGTGGGCGCTTGGGCCGCCGGGCGGTGGCTACGACACCAGGTGCCTCCCGCACGCTGCCCCCGGCCCCGCTCGCTCGGCCGCCCCAAACTTCCTCACGCCCACCCCGCTCTCCTCCTGGCCGACCCCAGGATATCTGGAGAGGCGGAAAGTGTGGTGACGCGGAAGAAGTGGGTTTTTCCGCGAGCAGTCAAGGGGCTGTCCCCTCACGCTCTCCACCTGCAGCTCCAGGTGAGCGGCAGCCCAGACCCCAGCACCGCCCACAGCGCCCGCGCGCAGGGGACGACTCTGGGTGGGCTTCACCCGACCCCCGAGGCTCCTCTCTCCGCCCCTTTCCTCCGGCTCCGGAGTTACCTCTCGGCAGAGCAGCCGCAGCCTCCGCTGCCAGCTAGCAAGAGGATCACGTTCCCACTCGATTTGAATTTCCTTGTTTTAACCGTGCAGGAAAAGCCCTTTAAACACAGCCTTCCTCCCGCCCCCTAACCCCCCAGCACCAAAACAAAAAAAAGTGCCAGGATCAAGAGCTGCTGCTCTCCTTCCCTATAATTTTGTTACTGTACTTTCTACTTTAGTATTGGATTTTTCCACTAGTTCAATTTGAAAGAGGGCTCACCATCAAGGATATTCACTTTATAATGGGGGGGGGAGGCATAATTGGGAGAAACCCACAGGAGCGGGGAAGGAACCAGACTGTTTTCCAAGGATCGCGTGTCTGCACGAAGAAATTTCGGTTTCCCTCCAACCGCCCCCACCTCGATTCTCCTCCCGCCCACCCCAATGCTGCAGTTACTAAGCAAAAGGATGGCTTTCTTAACTTTGATGTCTAAGGACTTTTAGGCCCCGTGTGTGAGGCTCCGTTTCTGGCTCCCGGCCGGCCTGGAGTCAGCAGCAGTGACGTACACACCTAAATCTGGTCCCCCGGCCCTCGGCGACCCGCGGCCGGGCGGCGGCAGCTGTGCAGCCTCCCCTCTCGCCCTTGCCCCGCGCGCGCCAGAGCCCCGGGGCGGCGGGGGGGAGGGACACCCGGTGCCCAAAGGCCCCTCCTCTCCTCGCAGTTAGTTAAGCGTCGGGATTCCCGACCCCGAACCCACAGAGATTCGAACTCTAAGCCGCTCCAGTCGGAAACTCCCTCGAGACGGGGGCGACAGCGGCGGCGCGGGCGAGCCGGTTCTGACCACCGACTCCGGTGCCCTCCAGTCCCGGGCGCGGAGCGGCCCCCGGCGGCCCCGCGGCCAGGAGTCCCCGCCGAGTGCCCCAACTTTCCCGCGGGGCCGCCGTCACGCGCGCTCTCCCGGGCCGGCTGCAGTCGCGCATCGATCGCGCCCCGGCTGCTGGAGCGCGGGCGGGAGCAGGGGGAGTCCCGGACCCAGCGCCCGGGCGCGCGAGGCGGAGGCGGCGGCGGCGGCGGCTCAGCCGGCGTTGCCGAATTATTCATTATTAAAGGAATGGACGTGTCTCTTTTACTAAGTTTTTACCTCCTTTGGGGAGGGCCGGTCTTGCCCTGGATCTTAGCTCCTTGCAAAATCTAGGTTAGAACCGTGCAGGGGCACCCGCCGCGGTCGCTCGCCCTCCCGCCACCCAGCACCCCTGCCCCGCGGCAGCCCGGCGGGCACCTCGCCTCCCGCCCGCAGCCCACCTCCGCGCGCTAGCCCGCGCCCGCGCCCTCCGCGCGGAACCTGCCTTCCCCGGGGTCGCCCCTGCACTCTCCGGGCCCCCTCTCACCGCTGTCAGCGCAAAGTGACTGTCGCTGCACTCACCTTTTCTAGGACATGGTGGGGAGGCTCGGGCGGGGGGAGGGGGCAGCGAGACTCCCGCCGCCGCCGCTGCCGCCACCAGCAAGTCCAATACTAGCCGATCGGCGGTGAGGATGGAGAAGATGGTAATCCCGGCAGTCGCCCTACTGACGGTGGGTAGAGCGATGGAGCAATAGTGTTACCCACAGGAGGCGGCGAGGCAGCAGCGCCAAATCTCACGGAGGGGGCCGCGGGCATCCGCCCGCCCCCAGTAGCGGCGGCCTGGCCCCAGGCGGGCCCCTCTCCCGGGGCTACTGTCCGCCCCGCGTTCACGACGGCGGCCCTGGGAGCAGGGAAGTCCGGCGGGATGATCCCGCGCCGGCCGGCCCGCAGCGCCGCTCTCCGCGCCCCCTCCCCGGCGGGTGGCGGGTGACAGCTCGGGCGGCGGAGCGTGTGTATGAGGGGGCGGCCGCACGGGGAGCCCGCGGCGCCGCGGCCCCCTCCCCGGGTCACACCCTCGCTGGCAGGAGGAGGGAGCACGGCGTCTAGCCACCCGCCGGTGGGAAACTGGGCTGGGGGCGCCCGTGGCCGCCCTCCCACCCCGGCCACTGACAGCGAGACAGCTGTAGGAAAACGGCACCCGAATGCACGCACCGCCTCCACCCCGCCCGCGGCCCCCCAAGTCCGGCCCTGACCTCGCGCCTGGCCTCAGGTGCAGCTCCCGCCCGCGGGGGGAGGAGAGGGCTGGGGACCACGCGCGGGGGGCGGGAGGGAAAAGTTTCTTTTCCTGCTCCCCGGCTGCCCACCCCGCGGGGCTGCGCCTCTCCCCGCCTCCCTCGGGCTCGCCGCGCCTCCGCCCCACCCCCACCGTGGGGGGGCGCGGGGAAGGGCCGGGTGTCTGCGCGCGGGGGCGTGTAGGGCGAGTGGCGCGGGGCGGCGGCCGCGAGCGGTCCCCTCGCTCTGACGGCGGCTCAGACGCCGGTGGCGGCGGTGCCTCGGAGGGGCGAGCCGGGGAAGGGGCTGAGCGCCAGGACCCCTCCCCCGCCGCGCGCCCCGCGCCGCGCGTCCCCGCGTCGCTCCGCGCGCCCCCGCGCCCTCGCGCCCGCCCGGACAGACACCTACGCAGACGCGAAAGTGAAAGGGGGGCGGCCGGGCCCGGCGGGCGGCCGGCGGCGCGCGGGCGCGAGGGCACGCGGCGGGGGGCGAAGGATGGACCAGTGGACCGAGATCCCGGGATTCTCCCGCGCCCGCCGCTCTGCGGAGCCGCCGGCCGCCTCCTCACTCCGGAGCGTCGCCGAAGTCCCACGCCCCCACCCCCAGCCGCACGGGTCACTCCCATTAGGGGACAAGTGCGCGTGTGTGTGCGCGCGCGGGTTCTCGCGCGTCCGAGGGTATGCGAGAGGCGTTTTGCCCCAGACTCTTTCGCCGCGCCGTTACGCACACCCTTAGGTGGAAGATTGCGGGGCGGGGGGAAGAATTGTGAGTGTCACCTCCATTTACGGGCTCCCCTGCTTGTTTTTCTTTATAACTCAATTAACCCCCCCTGAACTGGCCACGCACACCCCTTTTCTGGTTTGACACTCCTTTTTCTGCAGGCTCTTCTCCCCCTCCTTCCTCTGGGTTCTTCCCGGTTTTGTTCCTAAATAGCTGTGAAAGTTGCTAATCCTTTCCCACACAGGACCGTGTCATACACGGAGCTGCCCTGTTAAAACAATCTCTGCTTTTCTCCAACCACATTCCCACTGTCCAAATATCAAGCTTCGCATCTCGAATCCACCTTTTGTCTGTTTCTTATTTGTAGGAGTGACTTCTAGATTAATATGTGTGAAGTTCTTAAGGTATATATTAGGTGAGATCAAGAAAATATTTGATATATTTTCCAAATTAATATATAGTCAGTGAACTTTGAAAAGAAACATTAAGAAGTGTACTGATGTCTGCAAACTGAATTTGGAACTGCATGAAAAATAAGCTAGATTGACATTGATCGATTGATGAAACGGAAAGAAGGACGGATAGATATGTGACAACGCATGGCTATCATACAATAGTAATGGTAGAATCTAGGTGATGGGTATACAGGTGTTCCCTGTAAAATTCCTTCAACTGTTTTGTATATTTGAAAAGTTTTCATAATAAAATGTTAGATAAAAAGCCCATTTAAGGTGACCTATAATGTAAATTATTTTTACAAAATTGATAAATTAGGCATTTATTATTCCTTCCTCCTTTACAAAATGTTTTTCCATAAGAATTCTTTACCTAGGTACTCCCACCATTATTTTAACTAATAATTTTAATTACAGACAACTCGATCAACTATAGTGTACAGTGGTTATTATAACTGCAACATTTTAGAAATTTAGAAGATTTTTCCTGTGTTTCTTCTTGTCTATTTGAGACACACACACACAGCCCTATTGTCAAATTTTCATCTTCCCTGCTTTTAAAACAGTTTGGTATTACAAGGCTAAGATTGGATTTTGAAACAAATATAGATATTCTTTTGAAACTTTTTCACACCAAAATAACTTGGGCAGGGGTCCGGATGCCCTTATACACAGTATCAGCTTCTTTTATTCCGTTGGGAGAGGTGTTAGGGGATTTTGCAATTGTTAATAAGCAAAGTTTTATTTGCTTTCTTGATATCTGAGTAGTTAGAAATTTGGCCAAATGTTTCCATGTTTACGTTTCCCTCAGGTAAACCTCTTTCTCTTTATTTTCCTCTGCTGGCTGTAAGACAAAATGTGGTCCTGCCCACCCTGAAAGGAGACCAACTCCAGGGTAAGATCAGAGTCTCCCTCATGTAAAGAGAAGCTAACACTCACTGGTTTTTGCCTGGAATCCCCTCACAAGCGATGCCTCAGACAGACCCCATCAAAGAAGAGGGTGCAGCCAGCGTTTTCAGGTTGTTAGGAATACTCTTAATTTCAATACCTTTTCATAAAGAGCTCTCTTGTCCTTTGCAATATCAATACTTAATTGTTTTTTAAGCTATCTCTTAACAAAGTTTATTCTTTTCATCTTTTTAGATAAGTGGATTTTTTCTTTGCAAAAGGATATTTCTTCAGCAAAATAAAAATTAAGAAAAGAGAAGCACAGAAAAGGACCTAAACTTCATCTCCTGT